TCTTTCTTTTGAATTATGTTCAAAGAGATGTTGAATTTTAATAGCGTTATGTGAAAGAGCTGAGTGAAATCTCACTGAAGCTGCTGGACAAAATCATCACCTTTCATTCAAGATAAATGTAAGAAACAAGCAAACTCTTTTATGGAGCCTGATAACTGAAATTACAGGAGTTATCATCAAAAACAAGAGAAACATGAAGCATATGGACCCATGAGTTTCTCTAGAAACTGATATGCTTAATGCAGAGAGAGAGAGGCATTAATCAAGGCAAGATGATTAATCCAGATAAGCAGCAAAAATGTGTAAAAGGAATAAAGAAACCAGCAGCACAGCTCGAAAAACTAGCATTGTGATCCTGGTAGAAGAAAAGCTGAAAGAGAGGTTGGGGGTAAAACACTGGGTGAATGGGGTTTGGAAAAAAGAAGTTATTGCCTGTTATTTGATTCTGTCTTTGTTCAAGGAAATAAAACTCTGTACTTTCTTTGTAAATAAAATGGAACTATATCAAAGCAAAACCCTATCCTGAGGATGAATTCTCTTTCCAGCTGAGAAGAAAACAACCCACAGACCTGGCAAATTGTTTAACCACTCAGGTAAAAATGGATTAATACCATGTGAGGAGATGCATCTAGTTTTCAAGAAAGGGAATCGTGAGGTGGAATTCCCACTGAACGAAAATAGAATCAATGAAGAAGGTATCTCTCAGAAATAGTAATTGGTAAAAAGAGATGAAAACAAGACCAGATGAAATTAAAAGAAGACTTAAATCAGCTGGAGGCTTTTCAAAATTAATTAAAGTAGTAGCTGGAAAATTTCCAGAGCGGTCTAAGAGATGACATGCAGGCAGAGATGAAATCTCTGCTTGAGCCGCAAACACAGAGTATCCAGACAGATTAGGAAGCCCTGTGGCAAAACAGATCAATGAGATGACTGACAACACAACTCCTGCAGGCTAGAAAGTTTTCAAAGAAATAGGTAAGCCAGGAAAGTTCGAACTAACTTGGCACTCGATGACTTAGAGGAGCTATGCCAAGAATGTAAGGAGCTGGAGAAGTAAACTGGAGGGACACAGACAATGCCATTAGAAAAGCCAGAGTAAGACTCTTGCCTTTTTTATCATTATTAGTTTTACAATACATAGAAATTTGAACACCATTTGAAAATGACCAATATACAGGAGCATGGACTACCTCCAGCTCAAAGACGGCGTCTTTGAAAGAAAAACTTCCATCAAGCTGATCTCTCTCAGGTCAACATGAAAACCCAAATGAATAGAAAGGTGTACAGAAAATGCTGAGTCTAATGGCCAGCTCTAGCAGCTCAAGTTAGATGGTACTGAAGAACAATACCTGCCCTTCTTCCTCACCTTACCAAAAAGGACATAATCTTCTAAGAAGTGGTCACTAGTGAGATGATTGAAACTGGTCCCCCTCCAGACCCATAGTGGTACTAGGCATGGATCTGCTCACCAGTAGTAAGAATGCTAAACAAGATGAGCCTGAACAAAGCATCATCAATGTTTTATGAAAAAGCTTTGCCCAGTTTGGGAAAGAGGAGACACTGAGCTGACCATGATCTTTGTCAAATCTGGGCAAGTAAATGGGAATTTGATTGCTAAGTGTCTAATAGCACTTGCACAAAAATACTGGGCACTGGATCAACATAACAGGTTTCAGAGGGGCCTGCCAATAAAACTAGGAAAAAAGATTATCCAAAACTAAATCATCTGTTTGGTCTTAAATAGAGATAATGGGTGTGACCACATGATCATGTAGATGACAGACATGAGATCAGGAACTGAGTTCCTTTCGGAAGAAGCTTCCTCCAGAAGCATCGGTAGCCCTCTCCCCTGCCAACAGGCATTTGGTCCATTGGACCACCAAACAGTTGGTCTAAAGTAAAACCTACAGAGTGAGTACTGTGACACTCTACAAATCCACTCCTAGTGGGCCACACTGCTTGCTAATGTAGACACAGTCACTGATGGGTGGAAGAATCAAATGTAAGTTTAAGGGAAACTAGGTTTAGAAACTGTGTCTCTGGAATTTAAGCATGAAATCTAGACAGTCAGGACAAATCAGGAGCAGTTTGGATTTCATTACAGATATCAGCTGTGTTGTAAATGCCAAGAAAGTTTTCTTACACTTTCAAGTAAAACAAACGCTTTGTTGACAAGTGTTTTCTAGAAATCAGCTTGAAATGCCTACAGGAGTGGAAACAATTATAACAGTTTCTTGCTGGGGTAGCCTTTCAGCCAAGATAAAATGGAGTGGCGGATGCCCACCATGCAACCAGGCTCTTGGGAATCTTAGCAGCTAAGTCTCTGCAAAAATAGGAAGCGATACATCTAGTAAATATTGCCATAGAAGGTCACGCCAAGCTCCAAGAGTTTCTGTTGGACTTGCTAAGGCATGACATTGTGCATTTAGACAGGGAACAGAGTCCCAGGTCTCTCTGGAGTCAGTCACTCTTCTCACTATCAGTCAGAAAACTGCTTCACTGAGCACACAAAACAGGAAAAAAGCAACACAGCTCAGCAACAGCTGGTATTAAGTGGAGGAGGGAGAGGGAGGAGAACCACTGAGAAGATGTGTCAGGAATGAATAATTGAATCTTTAAACAATCCCCCCGTGGCAGCACCATGGTCTGTATAAACTACAGAAAATTGTATTCAAGTAGACATCAAAGAATTCTGCCCTGACAGGAGTTAATACTCTATTTACCATAGCAAGTCCAGGTTTCCCATGCTTTACCTTAAAATAGGTACTATTAGGTCAGAAATGGATATAAACTTTGCTCCTGCATCTGGGTATAAACCACAACAACTTCAAGCCATGGCTTTTGACTTGTACAATGGACCTACTACCTTTCAGCGGTTATGGATGCAGTGTCTGCAAGGAGTTAATCTCTCTTGGCCTGTTTATTACACCTGGTTGATACCCTGGGTTGTGCAAAAAGCTTAGAACAGGAGCCGGCACATTGACATGTGATCTGTAGGAAGTTCAGCTTATAGAAAAGTGGGTGATGGACCAATCTGACATAGGTAGATTGTTATGTTGAAGTAACAGACATCATCAAAATAAAGGTAAGAAACAGACTTTTCTATGGAACCTAATAGAAGAAACAATAAAAGAATAGCACATCAAAAATGGACACATAGCCACACTTGAGCAGAAGCTGATCCACAGTTGCCAAATGGTTTCCGTGGAGATGTATACATTAAATCTGGTGGGGAGATGGAGTGAACTTTCACTGATGGATAATTGGGAGGAGAAATAGCTAAGAAGAACAGAAGGAAAGTGAAGGAAAGTGAAGACTCTCCGTTCACAAATAGCATGAAGAAGGAAAGTCAAGAAAGAGACCTTTTGAGTACAAAGCTGGAATGAAGAAGATTGGCTCACAGAACAAAGAAATAACATTTCAGTTCTAGTCACTCTGTGTCTGTGCAAAGAGTTTGCCTAACTGTTCAAATTAGAAAGGGAGAACAAAATATATCGTTCACACTATGTTGGAAAGATTAATTCCGATTTCTGTGTCAGCAGCAGTGCTTATACAAAGTTTGTTCTTTAAATAACTCCTTTAAAAATGAGAACATACATTTTTTTCAACATGTAAAGGTGCAGCTACAGGTAAAAATATAGAAAATAGAAATATACAAATATGCAAAAATATACAATTAAAAAACCTGGGCCTTAGGCACCATAAAACATCATTACAGAATAGCTAACATGTTATTTCTTTTTGCATGTTTAATGTAAGAAATACATTTTCAAATATCATGCCTTAGATAAGGAATCCACTCACCAAAGGAAAAAAGATATTGAAGACAAAAATCACAAGTTACTTGAAAATTTAACGAGAACAACAGCTCAACTGACTTCAAGCAGAAAGAATTTGCTCTGGACTTCTAAAAACCAGGCCCAAAATATCCCAGACTGAGCATTTAAGTATCCAGGCACTCAAAATCAAACAAACTTTTTGAAAATGTCTTGATTCCTCATCAGAGACAGTAGGAAATTGTGACATGAAAAGTGTCTTTAATGGGGAGCAGTTAACACTTTCTAATCATAGAGCAAGTGATGCAGATGAAGAGAGATGATTTCAAGTGATGCAAGCTCCTAAAATACAATGGCACTTCTGAAATTTTTATGAAGATATTCTTTATCTTCAGAATAAAAGTTTCTAAATTCATAATGCAAACCAAAAAATAAAAACATATGGTCTTGTTGATAGTAAGCCCAAGTTGACCTCCTCCCCAAACAGCTTCAGTAAGCTTTCAGGCACACTTTTATACTTACAAAGGAATATCTAATGCAGCATATCCGTCACACAATCGCACACACCTAGCTTGGCAGTGTGTGTATGTCCAAATCTAAGAGCTGCACGAGCACGTAAAAAAACTGCATGCAAAGTAAGCTAGTATTTGTGCATCAGTAACTACTGCCTTTAGCCCCAATCCTGCAAAAAATTATGCACCTACTTAACTTTATGCAGCACGGTCTTAACTCAGCCTTTAACTCAGCTACCTGTGGTAGGGAAAATACATAAGAATTTAAGCATTTTGGGGAACTGGGACATGTGAGACGTAGGTTTCAATGGAAAAATTCACAGCACATAGTGTTAGGTCCTTTTTGATCTGGGGAATGACAATGAATTCTGGCTACACTCTTAAGAAGGTCAGGACCTCTGAAAATCATCCAGTCCTTGGCAGCAGTTTAATTATGGAGACCTGACCTGAAGTTTGGCTCTAAAATATGAATACTTTGGCCTGAGGTTTTCAATATAATTTCCAGATCAACTATTTCTTAGCAGGGCTTGTCATATACATAAATGTCTTTAATACCCATGTACTAGATTTAAAAAAAAACATTTGAACTAAGGTTTTTCCACCTATTGTGACTCAAGCACAACAAATTTTTATACACCTCACATTTCTAGAAGCACAGGAAAACATTTGACTTGTAACAAAAACTCAGTTTTCAAAGAGATGTTTAACTTACCTGCCAGAAGTCAGCGACAGTAGCAGGGAGAGGGCCCTGGGTGGCAATATATGCAGGGTTTCGGGGGTCATGGTCCATCTGGAATACGGAGAGAGAACACAGACTGGTTTTATTTAAAAGAAAATCCCTTGCTGTTTTAGAGACAGAAAGTATGCGAAGGCAGAAACAAGGGAGTTCCTAAAGGACTGTCATGTCCCTCCATCCTTTATTGGCAAGCAAAGAATTTTATTTCTATTTATAAGCTCAGAGGAGACCTTTTTCCACAAAGGACTGATGCTACCAGATGAATATCAGCACGCATGATGAGCAACGTCCTATGTCCTCAATATGCAGCATAAGATCATTTATGGTGGTTGACAAAGGCATTTATTTGAGATCAGTACTTGTGGTTTCATAGCAACCTAGGAGCCATTTGAAACATTTTTCTGCACTGAGTGTTAAGAATGCTCCACACATCTAAATATGTTCTCCATTACCACTGTGCCTGTCAAGGGCACATGTAACTAAAAAACAGCAAAAATGGGGAACAAATTCAGTTTCTGGCTTTTTCTGGTTAGCTGATTTATCAAAATGCATGGATTTGGCCTCAATAGAGGAAGTTCTGCTCAAAGACCTTAATTATTACATTTAATTGAAGGAGCAGAAAATTCACTGAGCAGAAAAAATAAAGAATCTAAGAGACAAAGCCATCAAGAGTAAATAGGATTAGTGTGTTACAATGAATGTTTTCGAACTGATGGGTGGTTTTCTTGGTTCTAAATCTTCGGACACATTCTGCTGAAAAAGAAGATCTGCTGATGGGATTAAAAAACAAACAAACTCATTGTAACCCTGAACTGGGCAAGACAAAACTTTGAACATAAAGAAAAGAGACCCAGTTCAGCTCTCAGATGTGTGGGTGTGACTCAGTGACACTGAAGTCGGCGAGAGTTAACTTATACCCATGTAGCTGAAGGCAGAATTTGTCTCAATAGACGATTCTGTTCTATAAGTAAAGATCTGAATAAGAATGAATGTGAGTCACATTTGCATTAAGAGGCATCTCTGAATTTATTCATAGCCTATCAAAATTTCCAGTGATGGTACATGTCAGCGTAAAAGAAGGCACCTCATAATTATGTGCAACATAAAAGAGGGAAGAACCATAAAAGAACAGATGTAAGTTATTCTAACAGAACAACAATATGATGAATGTTGCAAAAAGGAAGAGAACACTTTTATGTTTCTAATTTTCTGATGTATAATTAAGCTGGACTTAATATTAAAATTCTCCATGACAGCGCAACACAGGTAGAAAGAAGTCACTGAATCCATTTAGAATAAAAGCTTACTTCTGATTCATGACCCATAGTTATAAAAAACCTTGACCAGGATGTCTGTAATACCATCATTTTATTCCGAGCTTCATTGAGATGCTTCTTTTATTAGCAAATAACTCTTCACAACAAGCAATTGCCCACAACAAATTTCAACCTTGCTTTCTTTACCTTTTGACAAAAGCAATTCTGATAGCAGGACATATGCTACTGTGGGTATTTTGAGATTAGGGAAAAACTAGCTTTCTTCAGAAAACAGTATTAGCAAAAAAAACCCTTAGGAAACATTTCAAAATGGGCAACTTTTTTTTAGTTTTTTTTAAGAATTGAGACACTGAACTAAACACAGCTGAAAACAACAGCAAATGTGATTAAGCAAAGTCAGGCTTAAAGGGTTTTTTTGCTCCATTATGGTTGAAATAATTTCTGTTGTTTTGTTTTGAATCCCACAGAGATCTATAGGATTTAATCATGTGCTTAAACGTTCTCCTACACGGGAACTAAAAATCTTAGCTTAGAAAAATCGACCTGCACTGCAGAGGACTTGCTGCTCCCAGTTGAAACTGTTGTAGGCTGCATCCACTTGAAAATGATGTCACTTGTCTAACAGGCGAGAGCTTGACTTGGAAATGTAACCAACAGTGAATACACCAAACTTTAGAAAAATAGTAATTTCCTTTGGATTTCTTCTGAAATTAAATTCTTTTGTATGTAGACATGCCAGAAAATAAAGGCAGAAGAAATCAAGGATGATGCAAATAGCACTGTCATGGAGGAAATAGTTCTCAACATTCAGCTGATAAATCAGGAATAGGCCAATCTTGGCATCTCAGCATTAATCAACCTCTGTCACAAAGGTGCTGTTGGAACGTGGCAAACATTACAATAAGCACAGGGTAGTGAAGTGTATCAGCAGTTTAACAATAATTCAAAAGACAGTTACAATTATTACATTCCAAGCACATTGTGTTGCACAGAAAACAATTATGAGCAGAAACTCTTCTTGCTTGGAGCAAATAGAAGATGGCAGAAAGCCCTGTCATGCTATTAAATCATCTTTAACTGAACAAAAATAAGAGCAAAGATTAAACTAATTAAATGAAATTCCTGGTTTCATAAATTTTCTATTATATGTACTGTTTTAAAGGCCACATATTTCAAGAAAAGTGTGAAAAATCACTGGTGACATTTGATTTAACGCGAGTAGGTGACTGCAAGGGACAGTTCTTGAATGTTTTTGTTATGTTCTTTTTTATTCTCTCAAGGTCACCAAGAACACCAAGGGCATCTTAATCTATCAAAGTTAACAAAAGTTTGAATAAAGAAATAAAGTCAGTAATGGGTTTTAAACTAACTAATCAAGGATCAAGCGAAAGGCTTTTTTTAATGTCAGTAGTCATTATCTTCTTTCAAGGATCCCTCAGATTTCTCACTTCACGAAAATAAAACAGAGAATGTATTCTCCAGAGAAGAACAGAGAACAGCAGGCTCAATACTATCAAGTATTAAAACAAAAATCGACTGTTTGCTAACATTTTACAACGGAACAACCTTCAGAAATCACCCTAATAGTAATTGTTCAATGTCCCCATCAAAGCACAAAGTTCACAAGACTTACATCAGAACTGGATCGAACAGCCATTTTTGGGAAGAAAAAGCTGCAATTATTACAGCTGTTCTGCTATGGTGGAATTCTCATTTTCTGCTGCAGTACAACAAAGGCAAGTCTGGTGATAATGCTTCAACCTATTTTTCCATGATTTTGTATTAGGGAACGAAAGGGATCGGATTACTAT